GTCTACGCCCAGAGCTGAAGGACAAACTTGGCGTAGATGTACTATTTTTTGAGATCTTAAAATTTCATTTTACTTAAATACAAAAGTAATATGTGCTCACTTTTTTAAATATAGAAAATACAGCAGAAGGGCTTTTAAAAGGGGACACAGTGTTAAAGTGCCTGGTGTTTCTGCCTTCACCAGCAGATTTCCCTTGTCCTTGTCACTTGCTGGCATCCTGTCCATGCCCTCTGGTCCCAGATCCCAGGATGTGACACAGGGAGAGACCCCTTAGAGCCCTTCCTTCTTCTCTTTCCTAGGCCTCAACCTACCACCCAGCACCTGGAGGACAGGATGCGTCTCTGCACTGTCCTCATTCCTTCTGGGGACCCTGAAGCCTGTGCTGCAGGCTGAGTGAGAGCCCCTGATGGCCCAGGAGCAGCCGCTGTCGCTCAGGTTGGCTCCATGCCTGCTCCTGCCAAGCCTCCTCCCTCCATCATGGCGCCCACTGCACACCCGAGGGTCCTGGGAGGTGGCTGCTGTTCCAGCACTGTCCCATGGGCTGGCCACGGAGCCAGCTGCTGGCTGTTCTATGAGAGGTCACTCACATACAAGGGGACAGCACCCGGGAGCACAGCCTCAGCCAAGCACAGCCGCACCCTGTCCGTGCAGAGCCAGGGCAGGACCTCACCCACCCTGCCCTAGATGGTCACACCAGCCCAGAAGCCTGGCCTCTGTCTCCTGCAGGCCAGTTTCCCTCCGCGCCCATGGCTGCCGGCACCTCCAGGCTGACTGTCACCCTACGGCTGTACCCTCCCCGGTCCCTAGCATGTGGTGTCTGCGGTTTCCCTAGCTTCCCTGCCCCCCTGTCCTCTGGCCTTGAGGTGTCTCACCCACTGTGTGCCACTGTTAAGCGCCAGAGGCACAGGGCCCATAGTTTTTCTGGTCCTGGGACTGACCTGTTTATGAACACAGGTCAGTCTCGGGGCTCCTGTGGGCAGCTCTGGGTCCCACTCTCTGCCCACCCACCCAGGTCCCTGGCCTAGATCTCCATGCCCCACTTGTCCCTCGCTGGTGTACCATCCGGGATCCCCTTTATCTCCTGCCACTGGCCACCCGGAACACGGCTTGCACCTCGAGGAGAAAGACAGACACTGCGGCTGGGGCCCTGGAAGCTGCAATCGCTGTTGGAACCAGCAGCACACAGGGCTCTGGGTGAGTCCCCTGGGGCTTCTTGGCCATTTCAGGGCTCCTGGCCTGTGCGCATGAGCTGGGGAGCAGAGCCCTGGGCAGGTGGCTCTCAGGGCCTCTGCTGGATGCCTCCTGACAAGCCGGGACCATGTGTGCCCCCAGGGCTGCTCCAGGTGGGTGCCTGCACAGGGTGCCGGCAGCATCAGTGCTGAGCTGAGCCTCAGTGGCCAAGAGCCTCGGGGGAGTGAAGTCGGCGCCGGAGGGAGAGCTCCCGGGCGGGAGCTGGGAGGAGAGGGCACACATATTTTTAGGAATATGGCATAATCTGGAAGAAATGTATCCACTTGATACATGGAGGCCTGAAGTGCCAAACAGTGCGTGGCTAAATTTAGCTGATGTGGTCTTTGTTTAAGAACTGCACAGGCAAGGCACAGGTGGAGGCCTGCGGCAGACCCCTGGCAGGACAGCGTGCTGCATCCGCGTGGCCTGGCCCGGCGCGGAGACTGGTCGTGAGGGGAGAAGCCGCGGGAGTGCCCAGTGGGGCCTCAGGATCAGCTGCTGCACCCCTCTCATGTGTGCCCGGAGGGACCTCCCAATACAAAGGAGGGCTGCTGCCCTGTGGGTAGGGGAGCAGGGCTCAGCCCTACCGCACACCACCAGCAGGGCTCTCCACCTGTGCAGACCTGGAGAACCCTGAGCCGCGCCTCGCCAGCGCGCCTCAGACCCCACGGGGGCGGCTGAGGCCCAGGGAGCAGGCTGCACACTCTGCTTGTGTCCCCTTGGCCAGATGAGGCCCAGGTGGGGAGGCTCCTGTTGGTTCTTGTGCCAGAGGCCCTGGGCCCACACCTGGCTCCTGGTGGGGACGTCCAGTGTGACGCCACTTTGTTTTCTGGATCTCTGGCACACAGTGAAGCCTGTGGTTTCTACAGAGGTTAATCTTCTCTTGAGTTTAACTATTCTGAAACCTGTGATGACCGCACACTGACACGGCTGACCTTGACTGTGCGAGTGGGAATCCAAGGAAGATACCAATCTGGGAAGAGGGCCGAAGACTGAAGAGAGGAGCAGCAGCTGGGGGACCCAGCCTCGTGCTCACCTGCAGGGGACCGGACTCAGGTGGCACATACTGCAGGGCCCCCTGGCCTTGCGCTCCGGGTCTGAGCCATTGTTATCCCCCTAATACTCCAAGTATCCAAAGTATCCAAAGAGCATGAACCACCCCCAGGGAGGACGCCGTCGCTGGTCTTGTGCCGTCATTTTTATTGCTTTCTCATATTGAAGTGTTTTGACTCTCTAATCCCTTACCAGGAAATGGGCATTTAGGGCACTTGCAGAGTCTCTGAAGTGTTAGTGGAGAGCTAGTTCCTCAACTAGACAGACGCACGGGAGCAGACGCTGGGCCACACGCAGGCGGCTTCAGCTTCGAACCCTACAAGGAGGACCAAGGGACCGGGAGGGGTCTTCTAGACGGTGTCCCCAGAAATGACCCCCTGGTGCCACCCAGAGGGTTAGAAACCAGGGGCTGTCTTGCCATGAGCTGCTACGACCACGGCGGGTGCCCTCCCTCGTCTCCGTCATTCTTTATGACCTGGGGACAAGCTTGGGAGGCTCCCAGGGGGTCTTCATGCCCTATGGAGTGCATCCCTGAGGCTTGGGCCATGACCCCTGGGACCTGCGCCCAGTTCTGGATGGACATTGCTGGTAAGGCCTCAGGATGGTGCTTGGCCCCAGCAAGTGTCCTGCTGTATGTACTCAGAGCTCAGCCGCGAGGGGTAGCTGTGTGGTGAGGCTCAGTTTGGGGGCTGTGCATGGCAGGTGATCCACCACCCCTGTGCCTTCAGAAACCCTGGGACTCCTGGTCACTCCTGGTCTCCAGCCCCTACATCTGGCTGAATCTCAGGGTTTGGACCCAGGCAGGAAGGTCACTGCCAAAGTCACCCCACTCCATAGCCATTGCCCCTGCTCTGGGTCAGAATTCAGGGCCTCAGCAAAGAACCTCCTCTCCACAGAACAGCCCCTCAGCTGGGGTAGAAGCCTTGTTCTCAGAGCCTATAAGTGGACTCCTGGAGAGACCCTGAGTCCATTCTAACCCCGTGGAAATGTTGTGAACTCACAGGCAGCATGTGCAGGCCAACCCTGGCTCTGAGCTGGGCTCTCTGTTGGGGCCACTCAGTGAGTCCATCAGCTGCTGAGGTCAGGGGTGAGGCACGAGGCCTCGCTCTGGTGTCTGCTCCTCCCAGGAGCACGCCTAGAGGCTCACGCTCGGCCTCCTGTGCGGCACCAGGGCAGCGGATATGGGGTCCAGAAGCCAAAAGGAACCAACACTGGTGCACCTAGGGGTGGCACTGTAGGTGCTGGCTGCACCCTAGCCCTGTCTCCCTGGCCCCGGGACCTGGCCGAGGCGGGGAGTCAGTGACATCCAGTGTGTCTTGTAGTCACTGAGTTCAGAACATCTGATGGCCCGTACACTCGACAGCTCTCTACCTCTGAGAGACCAGTGCCACCAGAGGCCACAGGCTCTGGGGACAGTGCAGAGAAGCTAACGGTGGTGATTAGCATAACGGAGCAGGGCCCTCACAGGATCAGAGGGGCAGGCAAAGAAACCCAGTCCCCTCCCTCCCTGGATCTCCTTCCTGTCTTCCCGGGAGCACAGGACACAGCCAAGGTCCAGCCATGACTGGCAGGGGCTCAGCTGGGGTTTAGCCCAGGCTCCTGGGAGGCTCCCTCTGAGTGAGGAACCCAGGACACTCAGTGGGCTCTTCCTCCACCGACACTGGACCCACATAGTGGGACAACTAGCAGGAGCGTCCAGCCCAGGTGGGGATGTCAACCCACACAGCACAGAGGGTAGGGGCGGGGTGACCCGGTCCTACAGGAAAGCCAGTGCGGGCACTAGGGAGCCTCGCCTCCCGTCTCCGGCAGGGCCCCATGAGGGTGTGCAGCACAGAGTTCTCTAACGCCTTCTCTGACCCCGGCTTTTCCTCTAAGACCCAGAGAGGCCACAGTGGTCACTGTGCTCACCCACCACCCCTCCACCCCCTCAGGCAGGTGGACCTCCCAACCCTAAGGACAGTGCTGACCCAGAGCAGAGATACCTCCTTTCCAAGTGTTGCTTCTAACTCAGGGGGAAGAGAATTGGCTTTGAACTGAAACCCTAGAGAAGAAGGGAGAGCCCCAGGAGCCGGGAGGTGGGGACGCAGCACTGCCGGGCCTGGGAGAGGCCCCCACGAGGGAGGGGCCAGCCGCCTGCCCCCTGCCAGTTCTCAGGCCGGCACCTCTCTGTGCAGGCCTGGTGGTCTGAATAGGGGCCTGCAGGTTTACAAGGTGCTCGCCTACCGGGGCAGCAAGGAGGGGACAGAGGCTGAGGGCAGGGACCGCGAGTGGCCTGGGGGCGAAGTGAGCCACAGCTGTGTGCCTGGGCACAATTGGGCTGGGCAGATGTTGGGGTGGGGTGGACTCACTCCACACAAGAACGTCGTCAGCTACTCTGGAACACAGTGCCCCCGGCCCCCTTGGAAATGCAGCCACGAATGCGCACCACCAACTGGGGGGTCACGGCCACCCTGCCCAGGCCCAGCGAGACCAAGATAAACCAGCCTGGGGCTTGGGAAGGGCTGGTCTGGTCACACCTGGCAGGCGTGGGGCTAAGCTGCGCGTGGCAGACCAGACCCAGGATGGCGAGGAGACACAGGAGAAGCTGCACCGGTCCAGGTGGAGGAAAGCTGAGCCCACCCACCCGCCAGGCCCAACCCTCCCTGCCCGCCAGGCCTCTGTGCCATGGCCGGGTCTGGACAAGGGGCCGCTCTGGGCGGCTAGGAGGAGGAGCCTACCTTGCCCTCGTCCTCGGGGTCACTGTAGCCACAGGCCTCGATGAAGTCAGGAAATGCCTCTGACCACCCCTCACTCGTGCAGTTTTTGCTTATGTTTCCTGGAAAGTGAAGTTCAGATGTCTTACCCACAGGTCCTCAAAAACTGTCCCAAGTGTGCTTCTCTCAGTCAGCGGACTCCACGGAGGCCACCTTTCACAACCTGCCATAGACTAGGTGGGGCCCAAGAGATGCGAGTGGACACTCAGGCCATAAAATGGGAGAAACAGAAGTAAAATTGCAATTGCTCTAAGTGCTGCCACCTTGGAGCAGAATGAAAATCTTGGCCGATTCCATGTCCTGCCAACTTAAGGGGCAGTTAGAGCCAGGCCTGGTCACTCTGGAGCCCACCGCCATGTCTTGCCTGCCCTGCCTGGCTCCTGGTCCCCTCTGCTCCTCGCCTGCCCCCAATCTGCACTGTCAGGAATTGAGTGCTGGGGCTCCACGTGGCCGCGGCTGGATGGAGGTGGCTGAGGTTAAACTTCAAGGACAAAGGCAGCTGTGATGGTAAAATCCCACCTCTCCACCCAGGCAGCCCACCACTGGTTCCCGGCCCAGAATTGCAGTGTTCCCTGATGACAAGCTGGTGTCCTTGGAGAAGAACACACAGAAGAGCAGGTGGCCCCTGCCAGGGTGGGGTGGGAAAACTGAGTACCCCCCGTCCTCGGGCAGAGCCGGTGTCAGCCATGTGCAGCCTGCGCTCTGTAGAGCTGCTGCCCTCCTGGGCTGAGGGAGCCGAGGGCCCGGGGCCTTTGGGTCTAGAAGCATTGCCCTCATTCGTTTCCAGGGAACCCGGGGGCAGGTGGGAAGGCAAGGTCCCAGAAGTCAGATGCCACTGAGGGGGAGACAGGCTTAGTGCTTCAGAAGCCCTGACTGCCGCATCCACCTGCTGAATGGCTTAGAGGAGTCAGACTCAGCCACAGGCAAGTTCCCTCCTTCTTGGTGCCACCTGCCGAGCAGCTCCTGCCAGGCGGGGTGGCAGAGTGGCCCAGCCTGCCTGGCCCGACTGTGGGTTTGAGAGAGTGTGGCCTCTGGGACCTGCTGGTCCTCCTGAGGTCTCTCTCTCTCTGGCTGGCGGGGCCTCGACTGCTTGCTGGCTCCGTGAATGGACTTGGATTTCCACGACAATATTCAGTAGAGAAGTAACTGACTGGATGGAAAGTTTAAAAGGCCAGATGATCTAGAATGTTCAGGTCCTGGAATTGGAGGGGCCAGGCCGGGCGAGCTCTGCCTGACTGCGGCCTCACGGCTCCTTCCTGGCTCGCTCTCCTTCTCCAACCACGGCCAAAACTCTGTTCTCAAGGTTTAGCCCCCGGCATCTGCCAGATCAGAGCAGATCCCCCACCTCCCTGTCTGCAGGTGTGTCTTCCACGCTGGCTTTCCAGGTGGGTCTCTCCATGTTACGAAGATCTGACCACTTATGAAAACAAAGCAAGCGCTCCTTTAAGCACCCACTGGGCAGCGTCACCAGGTGCAGAGCAAGCCCCAGCACAGGGCCCAGGGCAGCGTCCAGGCTCTGCAGAGAACTGCAGACTTCAGGGGATGTCAGGCTGGTCAGCACAGTGGGGCCCGGGGCTGAGCCATCAGATGTCTCCTAGCATGAGAGGCTGCCCTCCTGCCAGAATCACAGCTGCAGGGGGCTAACTGTCTCCGCCCCCTCTGGACTCACGATGCTCCCTGGGACTGTGGGAACCCAGCCCGCAGGCTCACAGGGACCCACTGAGCCTCGTGACTCTCCACTCCTGGCTCCCACCCAGGCCCAGCCCCATGCTCTGGCTCTCCTGTGTCTGCCAGGCCTGGCCTGTCCCCGCGACCTGCCCTGCTGCCCACGTAGGTGGGGTGGAAGACCTCTGTGTCTTGTTGTTCCCTGGCAGCAGGAGGAGCCAGAAGTCACCAAAGGAAGTGGAGACACCAGTTCTCAGACACAGACACTGTGGGGAGCACAGGAACGAGCACACACAGCCCACCTGGTTTGTTGTAGAAATGGCTGAACACCTGGGGACAGGGCACGGTGACCGTCTCCCCCACCTCTGCAGGGCGCCAGCAGGTGATGTTGTCCCAGACACCAGGGCAGGCTGGAAGGAGAGGCAGAGAGTGAGGGTGCCAGCCCCAGGAGGTGGCAGGGAGGCCATGAGTTAGACACTGCTGTGTCCACTCTGATTAGCTTTGGAGAAACCATCAGGAACGCAGTATAAAGCATTTGGATAATGTTGTACTATGTAATTTTCAAGTTTTATTTCATTTTTAATTGGCAAGTATGGGATGAAAGTGTTGTCGAACCCTGCACATTGAGGGTTCAAGCCAGGCTGATCGGCACATACGTTGCCTCAGAGACTTACTTCTGTATGGTGACAACATCTTAAATTCATTCTTTTGGCATTTTAAAAATGCAATTCATTATTATTAGGCATGTTCACTTGCTGCAATGATAGGGCACCAAGACACACTCCTGTCCCACAGCATGGCCAGTGCCCCCAGCCTCTGACAGCAGACTTGTACTCTGTGGCTTCCAGGAGTGAGGCCTGCTGTGCCTGGCACTGCCCAGGTCGGCTGGGGTCATCCTCAGTGCACTCAGCAGTGGAGGCCAGAGTACGAGAAGCCTTTATTCCACAAGGCTCCCATGTGGCTCTGGGCGCCCTCACCTGAGTGGGCTGGCCCTTGAGGGATGACCACTGTCCAACCCACTCTCACCCCTACGACCATCCCCCAGCATGCCCTGGCCCCCAGGACCAGCCTGCAGCATAATCTGACCCCCAGGACCAGCTCCCAGCATGCCCTGGCCTCCAGGACCGGCCGTCCAATGTGGACTCTGACACTGCAGCTCCAGGGGTGGTGGTGTGCATCCTCTGCTGTCCGTTACTCCTGCCCCATCTGAACCGCCAGGTCCCTCCTGCAGAGGTCTTGATGAGAGCCCCAGAGGGATTCTGGCTGCTTGGCTGCTCCCTCACTACAGCCCAGCCCCGCTGCAGTGGCCCTTCAGGTCATCTGCTGGGCAGCATCTGTGGCAGCTCAGGTGGGATCCCTCCACAGGGGCTGTGTGGAGGTCTTTGTGCCCTCTCTGCTCGGGCTGCCCAATGGCTGCCGGGATCTGACTCTCCCCTTTCCCAGGGAGTATCCCTGGTGCTTACCCCTGCACAGTGGAGAGGACAGTCCCACAACATTCCATCCTGGAACCTGCAGAGATAACCATCAGACCCACCCACCGCAAGACCTGCTCAGAGCACTGGTCCTTGGAAAGGGGGCCTGCCCGGTGTCCTGAGGAGCCCAGACCCCAGGAGCCACCTGTCACTCCACAGCTCAACACATGGGACACTGCACGTGTTGACGTCTTCCTGCCTCCACCTTTCACGTCTCTCACCACCCCCTCTGGTTCACACGGAGCCATTTTCCCCACAGCCAGGCCATACTCCACAGACTGACCACATCAGGAAGTCCCAGCTGTAAGTCCTCAACAGCCATATGTCCATGAAGAAGCAGGATGAGAGATTATCTGACAGGAAGGCCAGGTATGAAGTACTGACTGGACTAGAAATGCTGGAATCCATCTTGTCTTTTGGAAGGAATCCTAGTTCCTCCCCCATTGATGAGAAAACTCAAAAAGTGTGAAGAATGATTAAAAGTGGGAATTCAACATATTTAAGCTCCAAACACAACTGATTCAGTACAAATCATCAGCACATAATAAGACCTGCAAGGTACTGACTGAGTTCCTGCTATTATGATGAAAACCAGGGAGTCACAGGCAGGTGCAGGGTCAGCAGGAGCTTAACTGTGGCTCCACAGCCATCAACTGTGGGGTTTGCTCACCTGCACAGGGCTCACCTGTGTAGGTTCACCTGTGCAGGGATGCACCTGTGCAGGGCTCGCCTGTGTAGGTTCACCTGTGCAGGGATGCACCTGTGCAGGGATGCACCTGTGCAGGGCTCGCCTGTGTAGGTTCACCTGTGCAGGGATGCACCTGTGCAGGGATGCACCTGCTCAACCTTGTCTCTCTTCTCTGTAAGGTGACTACTGAGCAAGGAGATTCTTATTCCTCTTAGCTCTACAATTCTAAAGTAACACCTGTTAGAAAAGCTGGTACCTTCGCTCTGTAGAGCTGCTGTCCTCAAAGCCACCGACCCTGGGTGCTTGCCATTAACTTAAAGCCTGGATGGTGTTGGGAGCTGACTTGGGAAAAAATTATTTTTTCAAGTGCTTTGTTCTCTTCTGATCTGCAACCCTCAGTTCTGACAGGAATTGTCCCAGGTAAGCAAAGTGCTGGCCTCAAAAAGCACTGTGTCCCTCATGCTCACAGGATGCTGTCTTCTCCGCACTGAGTTCACAGCAAGGGACACAAGAGAAAATAGGAGCTGGCCTGCAGGGACCAAGTGAGGAGGATGCAGATGACCAGGCTCTTCCTCAAGTTAGACTGCCCTGGACTTGAGACTGCAAGCTGGCCCACAGCAGGCTGGTCCTCTCGCTCAGAGAGCCTCAAGTCCAGCCCTTCTTGCTCAGCGCTCCCAACCAGTGCCTGGGAGCAGAAACCTGGCTCTGAGTTACTTCCACTCTCATCCCTTGTTCCCTGGAACCTTGCCGGAGCTGAGCTGTGCCTGCGGCAACTCAGCCGTTTTCCACCTCTGCCTTGCTTTGACTTTCTGCTCACTGATCCCTCAAAATAACAGTATTTGGGGCTGGGGTTGTGGCTCAGCGGTAGAGCGCTCACCCAGCAAGTGTGAGGTGCTGGGTTCTATCCTCAGCACCACATAAAAATAAATAAATAAAGTAAGTATTTTAAAAAACAGTATTCTTGGAGACCTGCTGTCACCTGGGCACTCAGGGGCTACCTAGTTGACCACACAGAGCAAGAAGGGCCCATGGAGTCTGTTTCCTGAGCTTGGGGGCATGTGCAGACACGGACACTGTGCTCTGAGCAGCTGCCCTATCAGGACAGCCCTGTCCTAGCAGCTTGGTTTCAGGACTTTCTTGTCTTGGAGTTTACTGCAAAAGAGGCTCCAGAGAGTGGCTGGCTGACAGAATCATGCAGGAATCAGGCCCAGCTTTCGCAGCCCCACAGAAGGTGGATGTGACTTGGACAGACAGATCTGCCGGCACCTAGAGTTTCAGAAATGCTGGTCACACTGCCAGGCTGCCTCAGACTCAGTTCCTCCGAGGACACCCTGAATGCTGTCCATTGGGATGGCCAAGTGTCAGGCACCTGTGACTGGATCTCATAGAACCTCAGTCCCTCCAGGGCAAACAGAACATACAAATTCTGCTGAATGAGGGTGCCTTGTTATCACTTGGAGGATGCAAATTCATGTCATTTGTTCTTAAAATAGTTGTCAGTGAGATAAGGAGAGCTACACCTATGCATTTGCTAGGCGGGGCTTGGTGCCAAATGCCACCCAGAAGTTGCAATTAAGAATGGTGACAGTAATTGCCATTGGAGAAGTGGTGGGGGGTGGGGGAACCCAAGGGAAGCATCCACAGCAACCACCATCGGTGAGACAGAAATGTGCTCGGAGGATAGAGCACAACAGCACAGTGTAAGAATACCATGAGCTGGGAGGCCACAGGATGATCTGAGGGACATTAGTGGGCAGACATGGGGTGACAGTGCCCTAACTGTCCACAGAGACAGAGACCAAATAGTCAATTGTTCTTTCCTACTGATTTAGCATGGTGTTGGGATGAGCTCCTGCCAAGCTTCTGGTAATAACAAATACCCACATCTCCAGCAGATGTTCAGTGAGCAACTACAATGATCCCCCGTGCTACACTGTGGATGGAGAGTCTGGTCACCTGCTGAAGCACTTCATGCCAGAAAGAATGGCAGATGCCTGCCTGGCCACCATGGCCCTAATCCACTTTGGGTTTGCTTGGGAGCCCCCTTGTGATCCCTAAGAGAAATTGAAGAAGCAGATCAGGACAGGAGGGGATCTGCCAACAGGGCTGCAACTCCACAGGTGCTTGGAGACCTCCCCACAGGGCTGCAACTCCACAGGTGCTTGGAGACCTCCCCACAGGGCTGGGACTCCGTGGGTGCTTGGAATGATGTCATGGGCATCACCCAGGGAAGAGACTAATTAGAGTGGGGCAAGAATCCCACCCTCAACTGGTGGGGAAAGCTACAAACCAAGGGTCCAGAAAGGCCACTTCCTGGGACATTGTCATTCCCTGGGCGATGGCCATGCATGACTAGAATCTCAGAAGTGGCAGCTTTATTCTGGGATTCTGGTGGACCCTGAAGACAGAAGTCACATTCTGGGACTTCAGCTAACATCACACCAAGACCCAGAAACAGAAATAACCAAAGCTGGTAAGTGCACAAAAGGATTTTCAAGCCACTTGCAGAGATACAGGCAGAACATATGTATTTAGAAATCCTGGATCCAGCGGAACCCAAACATCACCTTGCTCCAAACTGAGCAGAGTCAGTTCCTCCCTGGGCCCTGCCCGTCACTGCCTGCCAGCACAGGCTGACACCTAGCTCTGGACAGAAGCCTGCAGGGCCCCCTGGGCCTCATAGGTGCTGCAGGGGCAGCGGGCATCAAGGGGACTGAGTACAGGGGGAAGTGCACAAACAAGAGCCTCACCCAGGAGCTGCCTGCTGTGCCTCAACAGCGCCGTCTCCTCACCTGACCAGCACCTGCAGCTGCTCGGCGCGTGGTTGGTGCAGAGGGAGGCAGGGCTAGGGAGGACTGTGCAGGGCATGAGAAGCCCTTCGTGGCCCCTTCTGGACAGGACTTGGGAGTGCCAGGCTGGTCCTGGGATAGTCTCCCCCAGGTTCATGACTAAGGCTTGGGTGACACTTCCCAGGATTGTGCTAGGACTTCTCTTCCCAGGTGAGGGGACCCTGGCTCCCCCAGCTCCAGGCTCCTGAGGAAGCAGTGTGGAGCTGCCACCTAGGCCCAGCAGGGGCAGAGCGAGGCCACCATGGGGGGGCAGAGGACTGTGCAGCACCGTGGCCCCAGATCATCAGTCAGCACCTGGGCCTGATTCTAATGACCTCACAGAAATGCCCGATCCCCAGGAACTTTTGGGAGCTGCAATGGTCCCCTCATGCCCAGGTCCTCATCACAGAGCACTGGCCTGG